GTAAGTAATCGAGTACGAATCAGGCAAACCCGTGGTTGATGGCATGATCAATGCTCCACGCGCAAACGAAGACACTTAATAAGCCAACTATCAATGTCTCATCACCCGATCCCTTTTACAGTCATTTGAGGAACTCGGGGCATATTTTTGGAGATGCAACGTTACGACTGTATATACATCATTATAGCTAAAATGGATAGAATGATCCTTAAACCGCCCGTGTGTTATCAGAAATGAACGGGCCACTGTAAGTTGATAATGCCCTCATATTGCTTGACGACGGGCCATTAACACGTCCGTTGTTAGGTCACGTCATGGGGATAGGGAAAGGTGAGGTCACGTTCAATAGTGACGTCATCTGGTTTGTTCTATGACGTTTCCATTTTTGCAAAAGTGGGTCAGTGAAATTCGTGTTGATTGCAGTAAATATTTCAAAACCGATATTGTTGTTTATTTTTATTTGATAACAAATTCTATCCATTTTAGCTATAATAACGGTAACGCTCGTCGGGCAGTTAATGGAAGACCTCGGGCTTCTGCAAATGATAATGCCCTGAAAAATAGCGTTACCCTTATATTAATGCACAGTCAATATTAACTTGCATATACATTCATCATTTTCTTGCATAAGACGTGCTTGCATATACACTGAACGACTTTCATATACAACTCATACGACGCTAGTTCAAAAGTTGTTTGATCAGGGTTAAAGCTTTCAAGGCCTCAGCTAAGCTTCAATAGGTTTTATGGTATGCAAGGTGGAGGACATTTCCAAATTTGACTCATCAGTAGTAAAAATTATGTCCGATGAAAATAAGTAGTTCCCTAATAGTATGTTTCTGTTTTTGCTCGCGTGAACACTATATTTATATTTGAATAAGTTAGTGAAGGGTGTCATAGGGAGTGGGTGGTTGTGCGGGTCTTTCTTTACCTGTACAATATGTATAGACAAAATAGTGGTCCAGACAGTGTGTATATTTTGTCAACGTTCGGCTTATTCATGTGAATATGCATTTTGTAAAACTTGAAAGTAATGCGTGTGACACGTACGCGCATTAGTAAAGTGATGCATATTTATTTGGACATGTTATGGTCAAATTCAATGCATTACACATATACTTGAAAGAAAAAACAATGACATTTATCACATAACAATGCTCCCAATAAATGACGTAATTTAGCGCTCATGAAAGTGTTTTTCCCTTGGTACCGTGTCAAGTTTGGTCATGATTTGTTCATACAAATTGCTCGAACAGATATAGCAGCTGCCAACCATGTGTAACGGCGTCATTGTACTTGGCAGCCTTGTCAGATAATGTTATAATCATAGGGAAAACACTGCTTATCCACGTCGTGAAAATGTCCAGTTGAGTAACAACAAACTTAGTGATGCTTAGTGAATGTATCAATATTGCTTATTTATGTTCAAAGATCATGTTGAGTCTTGTAACACCACTTGGGGTCATTATATCCTCTGTCGTATGTTATCAGAAATGAACGGGCCACTGTAAGTTGATAATGCCCTCATATTGCTTGACGACGGGCCATTAACACGTCCGTTGTTAGGTCACGTCATGGGGATAGGGAAAGGTGAGGTCACGTTCAATAGTGACGTCATCTGGTTTGTTCTATGACGTTTCCATTTTTGCAAAAGTGGGTCAGTGAAATTCGTGTTGATTGCAGTAAATATTTCAAAACCGATATTGTTGTTTATTTTTATTTGATAACAAATTCTATCCATTTTAGCTATAATAACGGTAACGCTCGTCGGGCAGTTAATGGAAGACCTCGGGCTTCTGCAAATGATAATGCCCTGAAAAATAGCGTTACCCTTATATTAATGCACAGTCAATATTAACTTGCATATACATTCATCATTTTCTTGCATAAGACGTGCTTGCATATACACTGAACGACTTTCATATACAACTCATACGACGCTAGTTCAAAAGTTGTTTGATCAGGGTTAAAGCTTTCAAGGCCTCAGCTAAGCTTCAATAGGTTTTATGGTATGCAAGGTGGAGGACATTTCCAAATTTGACTCATCAGTAGTAAAAATTATGTCCGATGAAAATAAGTAGTTCCCTAATAGTATGTTTCTGTTTTTGCTCGCGTGAACACTATATTTATATTTGAATAAGTTAGTGAAGGGTGTCATAGGGAGTGGGTGGTTGTGCGGGTCTTTCTTTACCTGTACAATATGTATAGACAAAATAGTGGTCCAGACAGTGTGTATATTTTGTCAACGTTCGGCTTATTCATGTGAATATGCATTTTGTAAAACTTGAAAGTAATGCGTGTGACACGTACGCGCATTAGTAAAGTGATGCATATTTATTTGGACATGTTATGGTCAAATTCAATGCATTACACATATACTTGAAAGAAAAAACAATGACATTTATCACATAACAATGCTCCCAATAAATGACGTAATTTAGCGCTCATGAAAGTGTTTTTCCCTTGGTACCGTGTCAAGTTTGGTCATGATTTGTTCATACAAATTGCTCGAACAGATATAGCAGCTGCCAACCATGTGTAACGGCGTCATTGTACTTGGCAGCCTTGTCAGATAATGTTATTATCATAGGGAAAACACTGCTTATCCACGTCGTGAAAATGTCCAGTTGAGTAACAACAAACTTAGTGATGCTTAGTGAATATATCAATATTGCTTATTTATGTTCAAAGATCATGTTGAGTCTTGTAACACCACTTGGGGTCATTATATCCTCTGTCGGCCTTTATCATGTTATAATGCCACGCTTGGCATTTCTTGTCATTGATTTCATGAAAGTTAGATCGCATTTCAAGCTCGAGAAAAGTAAACGATGCTATTCACTAGAATTGTTAATACTTAATACTTCATCATGGTATTCAACATCCCTGGTGTTTGCCGATCAATCAAACATCCAGTTTAGCTTTAAAAAATAGGTCTGCTTGCATTAATTTCGTGACGCATTTCAAACTATGGATCAGTACTCGCATTGCTTTAGTTTCCTGATTTGTCTCAAGGGTAACGTCGACGGCTAAACACCAGTCAGTATGTCACTGTCAACAGCCATCGTACTTATGACTTCACATTCACTTACTTACAGCAGTCTGTATACATATATATGAACAGTAACCTTGTCGGCCCATTCACAGTAAGTACGTCAACAGTCAGCGTATGTATGACTTTCATGTTCACTTACTTACAGCAGTCTGTATACATATATCTGAACAGTAACCTTGTCGGCCCATTCACAGTAAGTAAGTCAACAGTAAGCGTATGTATGACTTTCATGTTCACTTACTTACAGCAGTCTGTATACATATATATGAACAGTAACCTTGTCGGCCCATCCACAGTAAGTAAGTCAACAGTCAGCGTATGTATGACTTTCATGTTCACTTACTTACAGCAGTCTGTATACATATATATGAACAGTAACCTTGTCGGCCCATTCACAGTAAGTAAGTCAACAGTCAGCGTATGTATGACTTTCATGTTCACTTACTTACAGCAGTCTGTAAACATATATCTGAACAGTAACCTTGTCGGCCCATCCACAGTAAGTAAGTCAACAGTCAGCGTATGTATGACTTTCATGTTCACTTACTTGCGTGCATAGTGAGTACGCAGCTGTTCGTAACCTGACGTCGAGACAGCCCCGATTGATTAGAGTTTTACGTGGAAACATGCCTGATACCTATTTCTACACTGACCATATTCTCCATTTCCTCCAGATGACATTCTGAAGGTTATAACGACAAAGTATTCAATTACACATGGTTAACACAATACGATAAAATGGCATAACATACGTACAACTTCCATCGACTTATCGACTTATATCCATATATGGAGACAGATATAGACTAAATCATAAATGAACTGAAGTAGACATGTTGCTTCCCCAACGGAATTACTGCGTCCTACCAGACGATTAGGGCGAGTGGGTGTCGCTACTGTCACGTCTCAACACACACGAATTACTAATAAACTCACAGAAAGATCTATGTAATATATTTCATGATGTCAAAGTGATAGAAACAGTCCAATAATGCTCCACATCACCAAATGTGTTGTATAACATAACGGTATATCATGATAAATATCATTGTAGATGACACATATCCAGATCAATTGTATGGTTTATGCAAACCCATGGGCATCCAAATTGATTTATCACTGTCACATTTCTCCTTACAGACAACATTAATTATCGTGACTGCTCCTATCGTCATAATGAAGTAATGAGACCCCTAGGTAGATACCGGAATATATCAATACATTACTAAATACAGAAATTCACTTAAAATGTCAGCTTATAATTACAGCTCATTTATATTACATTAGTTACCTAACCCACCTATTTTAGTTGAATATAAACCTCTGAGACACAGATTAAGTCCAGGTAACCGTTGTGACCTGTTCATACGTGATATTGTGCCTGCATAACATATAAACGAATATTTGACAAGCAATACATTTTAATATATCCAGAAAACAAAAGGTGAATATTTACAATCCCTCTGTCTGGCTTTTTATAAGCATATAAAAACATCTATTATGGAGTTTGCTTTACGTGATATTCAAAGCAGTGGGATCTTAGCGTCTGAATTTCTGTAAGACTTTCTCTGGTGAATAGACACATAATCCATTCACACATCAACTACGAGGCCATAACTAACGATTGATAAGGACTAACGAGATACATTATTTCATGGTGGTAATGAAAGGAGCCTGACTTTGACGATAATTGGGTGTTCATTCGCCTATACAAATATTCCAATGGTTAATACCACCAGGGGACCGAAGCACAGAGCCACATTATCCAATGAATGGACAAAAGTTGTAGATTGAATCAATATATTTGATACTAGATGCGAGAACAAAAATCGATTTCTGAACAGTTTCATTCACACTGGGTGTCTAATAGAATCCTGGAGACAATCAGTTAACACAATGATAATTTAATCATGACAAAGATGAATGATACTTTTATCGTACTTACCATACTATGGTGTGCTTAGAGCCTTGGCTAATTAATGTTTTCCAATAGAATCAAAATGTCCAGAAGAGTGTGTCAACTCTTAGCATAGTTCCTACAACAAGAACTGTCGCCACTTACTCCAGGTACTGTAGGGGTAATCCGATAATCGCTTCAGCTTTGCTCTATATTTTCCAGAGAGTTCTTTGCGAATTTGATAGAAAGTGCAATAATTACCATTTGCACAATATATCACCACACGATGTTAATTTCACCACCTATGTAATACGCATCCGATAAACGCCATTATTAGATCATGTCCAACATGCAGCACAGCAATGAGCATGCACACGTCGACACCAATTGCTTCTGCATTATCATCAGGAACAAGTCACGGGTAAACATAGAACTGGGGTCATTGGGATCTCAGGTTACAACTGCAACGGGAAACTATATTTCCCAGCTCCCGCCTGCCACGTTGGTGCATACCTTCCATCCGTTGTTCCTCGTATAGATATCTGCCACTGACAAAACAAGACGCAACCATCTCACGGCAAGTGTCTGTCGCAGCATTGGTTCCAAGTCACTTGCGGCAGCAATGGAACGCTGGTTTGTTATCTTGCATCCAAACTTCCTAGTTACTCTTTCCCCACTGGCTTGTGCGTTCCTAAGAAGGGCCAAGCTTCCACTATGGCATCATTAAATCCAAAATCAATACTCACGTCGGAGAGATGTAAAAGCATAGCGCCTATTTTCCGCCAGAGCAAATGCTAAAATATGTCCACTGCCGAAAGGTGTACGATACGCCGACTTAACCTTTGGAATATCTCTTTATCTAACGAAACAAATGAGCTTTTCATGGACCCAATTTTGGTTTCGGACATTGTACGGTTTCAGATTTAACGAAACCTATACGGACCAATACATAGAATAACGCCTATCTTGAACTGTGTGGTATATTCTGGAAGGGAAATTACAGACGGTACCTTTAAGCCGTATGTGTAAATCGCAACATGGTATGTATGTGAGTGAGTATGGTTTTACGCCGCTTTTAGCAATATTCCAGCAATATCACGGCGGGGGATACCAGAAATGGGCTTCACACATTGTACCCATGTCGGGAATCGACCCCGGGTCTTCGGCGTGACTAGCGAACGCTTTAACCACTAGGCTACCCGACCGCCCCTGGTATGCATGTCGTGTCTTACATTTTTACTCTATTAGTTCTTCTGACAAAAGCCTCCCATCTTCATTATCAAAACGGGCGGTCGGGTAGCCTAGTGGTTAAAGCATTCGCTCGTCACGCCGAAGACGCGGGTTCGATTCCCGACATGGGTACAATGTGTGAAACCCATTTCTGGTGTCCTCCGCCGTGATATTGCTGGAATATTGCTAAAAGCGGCGTAAAACCATACTCACTCACTCATTATCAAAACGTTTATAGGAAGCAATTAATTTGCAAATTATTTGAATGCAGAAAAAAGTTAATGGTACCATGTGCATGTGTGTAATTGACCTGTAACAGTTTTTGGTAATATTAATGAAAACATCCATTTGCCATCTACTAAATAATCAATTTTAATTTAATAATTTTTAATACAAATAATGACATGTTTGACTATGAGCACCCATTTCTGTCATAATTTGTGTATGGCACCAACGCTTAATAAACAGTTTATATTTAGCGCTGATCAATAATCCAGAGCTCCTTGTTTGATCATCAGATCATAAAACTTAATGGAAAATATTTTAATAAATGCTCTTCGTGAAAACGCAGCGTTCTATATGATGCGAGTGATGATGTCCGCATTTGTAAATAGATAGACATGTTATGTGTGTTTATAGCTTTGATTTGTTTCCTTTCGGCATCACGGCGCGACATGGTGACGCTGACTGAAAGGAAACCACTTGTTTTGAAGAGATTTCATTACGCCAGGTGTACATTACATCATATAATGACGAATCGCATAGCAACGACAAACCTCAGATGATCTAAATTCGTATGAGTCATCTATCTTGCTGCTATATCTCCAGCTTACGCACCGTGGCAGTCATGACAGTCACTCATCTTACCCTTTCAAACAATGCGTTTCGTTATTATATATTTTCTGAAGATAATCTTTCCGCAGCGACTATGTAGAAATAGCATCCTTCTATCGTATTGCAACTCTTTGTGAACTGGGTTCCTTTATGATCATACGCAGGGAATCTGAAAAGTTCTGAGCATAACTATTATGGATTTCGTTGATGGATGCTAATTATTTTTCATCATAATCCTTGGATCTTGAGGCTTTCTCTACCTCTCTTGACCACTGCTGCCCATCTCTCAGCAGTGGGAAAGGAATCGAAGGAGCATCATACCCTAAAGTTGACACCGCATATACGGCCTATAGTGTTACACCTATCAGTTGGAGATACTTAGCGAAATTTTGTCCTTTTTCATGAACGGAGAATACCCAGTTTAACTGATTCCTGCAGGAATATGCCGCATCTTTGTGTATTTTAGTGTACTTAATACATGCAAACTGTTAAGGGTGTACTATGAATACTTCATATTTAGGCTCAGAATGTTTCAGCCACCCCCATATTAACTACAGTCAGATGAAGAGTACGTTAGTACGTTAGGGGCTAAGAACACACCCTTTCTGAACGACACCTCCATGCCAGGGGTACTTGGTCAAAATAGAGTTGTTGTTTTTAACAACGTTGATAAACATTGAATTTCTCAAAACAAATAGTATGAATGTAAACAGGTTGTAACTACGTGTGTGTGTGTGTGTGTGTGTGTGTGTGTGTGTGTGTGTGTGTGTGTGTGTGTGTGTGTGTGTGTGTGTGTGTGTGTGTGTGTGTGTGTGTGTGTGTTTCTTCTGTTATGACACGTGTATATGTGTTGTGTCTGTTATGTACATGCTTATACGTGGTGTGTATGTTATGTTCACGTGTATGTGTGTTGTGTCCGTTATGTACACTCGCGTGTATGTTGTATTTCTGTCATGTCCTATGTACATGAGTATTTTGTTGTGTATGTTATGTACCCGTGCATATGTGTTCTGTCTGTTATGTACATGTGTGTGTATTTTGTGTCTGTTATGTACTCGTATATGTGTGCTGTGTCTGTTACGTACGTGTGTTGTCTGTGTACATGTGTGTATTTGTTTCATCTCTTTTATCTCCACGTGTATATATGTTTCATCTCTATTATCTCCACGTGTATATATGTTTCATCTCTATTATCTCCACGTGTATACATGTTTCATCTCTATTATCTACACGTGTATATATGTTCCATCTTTATTTTCACAACGTGTATATATGTTTCATCTCTATTATCTACACGTGTATATAGGTTACATCTATGCCATGTACACGTGTGCATTTGTTGCATTTCTATCTACACGTGTATATATGTTTCGTGTCTATTATCTACACGTGTATACATGTTTCATTTCTATTATCTACACGTGTATATATGTTCCATCTCTATTTTCACATCGTGTATATATGTTACATCTCTCTTATGTGCACGTGTGCATTTGTTGCACCTCTATTATCTACACGTGTATATTGGTTACATCTAAGCCATGTACACGTGTGCATTTGTTGCATTTCTATCTACACGTGTATATATGTTTCGTGTCTATTATCTACACGTGTGCATCAGTGGCGCCTATGCTATTTCAACGTGAGTGTAAATGTGTTGTTATGTATACATGCGTGCATGTGTTGAATATGTGTGAATAAACGTCTCTAGCTGTGTTATCTCTCTCCATTTGTACAAATGTATGCGTGTAAAAAAAAATGTAGTATGTTTCATCTTTGTATCTACGCACGTGTATGCGTGTGCATTTGCCACGTCTTGCATGTGCATGTTAATATGTGTGCGCTTATAGGTACGTGTACGTGTATGTTCCCCATGCCTGTTTATGCACACACATTCGTGTATTTTGTTAAATGTCAGTGTCATTTATTGTTAAACAATGATTTTTACTGTAAGACATTGTTTCTGTTCCATTGTATTTGAGTTCTTTCCATTGTATTTGACAATGATTAGTTGTCAGGTATGTGGTACTATTTATATGTAATAGTGGTGAGGAACATATTCTATTTAGATGCTCGAAATATTTCTTAACTTCCAGAAAAGCATTGATCGATGTCAAGCGTTATAGAAACGTGCGGAATATTATGTGACGTTCTGATGACACTAGACTGGTCAAGCACTGTGTGGAAAGTCATGGAAGTTAGTTAACCTATATAAGTCGAGCGGGTGCGTACCTGTCATCTCACATTTCATCTCACATTCTATCTCACATTTCATCTCACATTACATCAAAGATCACTCTTCACTCTGGTGTCCAGCCTAGGCCTTTCCCGAAAGTTTGACAACTGTTGAGGCGAGATAGTTATTATTCTTGTCATTGTCATTTCCACTGCTCTCACATTTTATACTGCAATAATTATTGAATATTGTACTGCCACTCTATTGTATACTGCCATTGTAATTGTTTTGCGGTAATTTGTTTTGATTTGTAAACCTAGTTATTTGTGTAATACAATTGTTGATTTAAACCATTTGTAGGTTTCATATAAAGTTCTTTTACGTACAAATTTATGGGTAATCATATTGTTCCAATTTGGGAATCGACCCTTAACAATGTACAGGAGTATAAACATGTATGTTTTTGTGCTTTTCTCTGTGCACATAATTTCATGAAGGTACATGTAGCAGCAGATGTGTGCTTAGTATGCATCTGTGTCTGACCTAGTTATACATTTTATGATGCAACATTAATGATATCTCAACCTGTTAACCCCGTCACACTCCACACTCCTTGGCCCACATCCATGTTCTAGTGGATAGAGCGTCTGCCCGGAGAGCGGAAGGTCGGTTGTTCGATCACCTGGCCACGTCATGCACAGAAGACGTTAAAAGATGATACTTGTTGTTACCCTGCTACGGTAAGCAGGCCTCACCTCACCACACCTCACCTCACCTCACCTCACCTCACCTCGACTCACATCACCTCACCTCAACTCATTGTTGCATTGCCATTTCACATTGTCAGCGGATAATGAATATCATTACTAACTGTAATGTCATTGCGGTTTAACAATAAGTTTTGTAATGCAAGATTAAATTATATGTTCTGCATATATACGTTCTCTACGCAGAGTGTAACTACTCAAAAGCCAATAATGCAGACACATGAGCCTGAATGCAGACTCTGTCAGAGCCTGTCCTCTCCAGTCAAAAAAGGTGAGGAGAGATGATAGTATATTAATAGTCATGATATAAGATAATAAACCAGGAGCGACATAGTGCTGAAAACCTTACTGAAACGTAAAGACCTATTTACCTGAAGGAAATTCCCTCTACACTACATTTCCACAACAGCCTTATAAACAACTGGTACACGTGGTTAAGAGCAAACGGTGTAACACTGTATGCCTATCGGTTGTTGGCTTTTATCGCCTAATGGAATTATTACGTGTTCCATTACACCGTGGATATAGTGCATGTCCCTCTTCTGCTATATAGCACACAATCCGCTGCCATGGTGATAGTATCGTAAGCTGACGCTGATAGGGTTAACATGTGTAATACGACTTGCTGCTCTGTACACGTCAACACACATGGTACGTTTGACAAAAAAAC